GCCTTGGGGATGTCTTGCAGGAAGTGAGCCTTGCCAGCTGAAGCAGGGAACTGGCTAAGGCAGTTGCACCCTGATCCAACCAACACAAAGCAGGAGACCCGAGAACTAGAAAGGCAAGGCTTACTAAGTCATTTATCTCTTTGTCCTTCAATTAACCCCACATGTGTTTATCAGCCAGGTTGGCACAATAAACTAACTCCCTCACTACCCTAAAGAAATATAGAATGCAACCCATACAGACATATGTACAACATAAACATAAACATATGTTTAGTTCAGGAATTTCCATAATAGTGAAAACACGGAAACAACCAAAACCTCTCATTATAGAAGAATGGATAAACAAACAAAGATTCACACAATGGAGTATTATGCACCATTGAAAAACCAATGACAGCTCTCTCAAACACCACAAGACAGACAAAACTAGAGATCATTATGCTTTACATAGTAAAGTGTAGAAAAAGAAATATTTAATTACACCATTATAATAAGGAAAAACAAAGAAGAAAATTGGTTTTTGTGACAAAGGGTAAGGCTTTAAAGACTGAGGAGACCAAGGGTAGGAGCAGAGAGAAGCGAGGGATAGGAATTTACAGATGGGGGAGGAAAGATGGGGAGGGGGGAGCAAGAGAATCACATTTATAGGGAGTTTAATGGGATATTATTACAGATTTCATTTGCTGAGATAGGCTGTGCAACAATATACAATATGCCTCTTAAAAAAATTTTTTTAAGCTAAAATAAACACAATCCAAAGTAAAGGCTTCCTGTCTCCAAACCAACAATGACCAGAAGCCTCCAGATTCCCCCTCCCTCCGACCTGAAATTGGTCTGAGTAGCTAAAGATAAAAGGAGGGAAAGTAAAATGGACGTGGAACCTTTAGTGCCATGTACGTTCATTTCAAACATATGGAAAAAAGAAAAGAAAAACCTCATTTTATGATGGAGGAATAATTTTGTACCTCTCTTTATTAAAAATTGTTCCCTAAAGCTTCTAGTTTCAGAACATTTTCAGTTTAGATGTCTAAACAAATACCACACACACCCATCATTTTTACCCCCCTGAATTGCAATTGTTAATAAAAAACTATGAAGCAAGATGCTCATGGAATATTATTCCATAATATCCTACCCCAAATCCTTTAAACTATAGACCAAAAAGGAAAATGTTCACTTAATGCTTCTTTATAAACTGTTGCTTCTACTTCAAAATATCATGTTCATAAGGAAGAACATTTTCTGACAGTTAACAATAATCAATACATATTAAAAGGAGAAAGGAATCGGCAGATTGACTAAAATAAAACATCTCACTTCCTCACGACTTACCGATCTTCCTCAAAAAGATACTATGAGCAATTTTCTATTTCTAAGCCTCCTTAAAAAAGATAAGAAGAAAAAATTCTGATATTCTATAGTCAGTTGTAACTGAAACCAACAAGGTTTCATTAGAATTTAATGATTAGGTTCTAAACAGTTTAAACAGTTTGTCCAAGTAAATGGATAAGAAAAATAATTTACTTGAAAACTCTGAGCTATAGAGAAGTTGATCTCTTTATTAATAATATTAGCATACTAAGACTTAAAGTCAGTCAATAAACTGATTGGCTATACTTTTGGTTCAAAATTTCTATGTTACCTATGCTACACTAATTAGTTCAGAAATCATTAGCCAGGAGGGCATATTGTCCATTCAATTTCAAAAGAAAATAGAAATTTACTATCTGGAACAAAGTTTAGTTGTATTCTGAAAGCAGTATGATTTTAGACAAGTCTGGGTCACAAAGTAACTTTTCCGAATTTTGTCGAAGTCCCAAACTTTGGACCCTAAAACCATGTCATGGAATCAAGAGGAGGCTTTTTCCCGTTCGGAGGTACTCCGAGGAGAATAGAAAGACACAAACCAGTCATTCAGACTACGACTCACTACTCAATAAAGTGCAAGGATAGAAATAGATGGAGACTAGATGCCCATCTCTGGATTTGAAGAATTTGGACATGCACTTGTCTTTCCAGTCTGAGAAACGAAGGCTGATTCAGAAAAGATCCATTGAGCTCTGGTGTGTGTCTGAGGTCTGCATTTTCTGGCAAGGCATTGTGGGAAGTGCTTCAGTGACTCAATAGACCAGTAGTATCTATGCATGGCATCGCCCAGCTAACCAGCATCCTCCTCTCCGAGTGCCGCCTCCCTCTCAATCCCAGTTCTCCTTAGTTGGAGCAGGGAAGAGAGAGAAAAGGTCAGCATGATGCTAAGGCAGAGAGCCTTGCTGTTAACAATTCTGGCCATCTTTATCTCCATCAAAGTCTTCTTGATTGACAACTTAGAGACATCAACCATCAACTGGGAAGACCCTGGGGCTTCTCCCTGAATAATGGTAGGCCTGTGGGTGGAGTTGGAGCCCAAGTTGGACATTTTGCATTCTCCGGGAGGTTGCAGCCCAGTGCATGGTTTTCCGGAGTCTTGCCTGAGGAGACACTGGAGTTTCGGCAATCATGCATGCCATAGACACCAATATGGCGCATAAAGGGATACAATTAAAAGCTTATTTACAAGTATACTGGAAGGAGGACAGAAAGTTGTCTTTAAATCTAAGAGATAGAAGTGGTAGAAAGGAGACCCAGATGCTGGGAACCATAGGCACAATGCAGAGCCTTTCATTGGGACAGGATTCTGGATTTCCACTGACCCCTAACCCCCACCCCCTGGTGGATGGTAGATTGGTTCATCTTTGGACAGAGATTAAGTTTGCTGCAACAGAGCAGTTGTCGAGCGCCTTCCTAACTGTAGGGAACAGTGCTTGGTTCTATGGAAAGCGCTGTTCACTGCTGAGAAACAGAGCCAGCTTGTGCCCACAGGGAAATCATGGAAGAAGGGTCTGCGACTTTGCATCCTAGATGTGGGGCCTCTGCAGAAACAGAGAATGCCATGGGGCAGCATTTACCAAAGTGGCCAGGTGGGAATGTGCTGAGTGCGGCTGTGATGCTGTGAAGAAAATCCCCCTGAGGCTGTGAGCACCGGCCTCCCGGACGTCAGTGATACAACTGTCTGTGACTAGCTGAGGGATGGTGCTGATCATCCTCACTGTGAGAGCTTTCAAGATGATGAAGGTGCTCTTTCTGCTGGCGAATCCAAACGCTTGGGGAATCCCTAGCTGGCTGAGAGCACTCTCGCCCCCTCTGTCAGTGTGGCATTCTTCGGCATTCTGTTTGGAAGAGATGGAGCTACCCAAAGAATGATGTGCTTTAAAATAGGCCCAAACCCATGGCCTTATTGTCCCAGTGTTCTCTGCCCCTCACCTGGATGCTGTGGACCTATGGTTCCTAAATGCCAGGACCTTTGTGAAGTACCACACGGACCAGTTTGGAGCAAACACTGTGCTGGTCGAAGACATGATCCCTCTGTCTTATTGTAATTCTCAACACAAAACACAAGAAACTTCTTTTCACAAAGATAGAGAAATAGCATAACAAATTTCAAATGGTGTCCAATGGACTGGAATCAACCAGCAGGAAGTTCTGGGGATAGGAACAGAGAGGCCTTAAAGATCTTCGCTGTTTTCTGTAGCAGAGACTAAAGCTAGGCTGCTCATGTTATACGACAGAGATATTTCTGCTGAGTCAACTTCTGGTCTCTTTGATGTGAATGCACGCATCCTAGCACTGGGTTTCGTGGTGGGTTAGTTTTAGTTTCCCGTGCCAAAGTCCCAACAGAGGTATGA